AAAAGTAATACTTTCCAAAAAAAAAAACCCACTATGAGTTGATTGCCAGTGGCTCACACCTAAATCCTAGCTACTCAGGAGGCTGAGATCTGAGTATCAAGGTTCAAAGCTAGCTCAAGCAGGAAAGTCCACGAGACTGTTACCTCCAATGAACCACCAAAAGGCTGGAAGTAGAAGTGTGGTTCAAGTGGTAGAGCACTAGACTTGAGCTAAAACGTTCAGGGACAGTACTCAGACCCCAAGTGCGTGCATGTGTACCTGTGTGTACACGTGCACACACACACAGACACACATAGAAAATCAAACAGCCAAAAAACCCTCCAAAACCCCACTATCAAATAAATGATAATTTCCCAAACCACACTCTATTTCATCCTCAAAATAATGACTCCTTTTTAGTTTCAGTCCTTCCTAACCCTGATTTCATATGGGGTGACCATCAGGAGTGCCTTCCTTTAGGCTCAAATATGTGAACTGTACATGTCAAAGCCAGAGATTTTAAATTTCTGACTGTTATGTTTCTAGATGCATAATATTTTCCTCAATGGATTTATATTCATCTGTCTGTAGGAACATATGAAATAAGATCTTTTTACCTTAGTTAAAAGTATGTATGTATTTTAATTAGCCTGTCATTCATTGAAGGCAGAAAAATTTTTTTTTATATTTACTACCTCTGTATGCTTTTTGTTAAGAAACTCAGTTGGCATTTATTTTGATAAATTACCTGATAATTTTTATGTAAGCTATGTATTTTTTCTGTAAGATGGAATTTTTTTATTTTTTCTGTATATAGTTTTATTGTAAAAATACTGTACAGAGGGGCTGGGACAGTGGCTCAGTGGTAGAGTGCTTGCCTGTCATGCATGAGGCCTTGGGTTTGATTCCTCAGCACCACATAAGCAGAAAAAGCTGGAAGTGGTGCTGTGGCTCAAGTGGTAGAGCGCTAGCCTTGAGCTGAAGAGCTGAGGGACAGCACCCAGGCCCAGAGTTCAGGCCCCACGACTGGCAAAAACAAAACAAAAACCCAACAACAACAACCAAAAAACTGTACAGAGGGGCTACAGTTACATGAGTAAGGTAATGAGTATATTTCCTATCAAGCATTGTTACTTCCTCATTTGTTTGTCCCCTACCATCCTTTCCCTCCTCACCTCTCCAACTCCTCCCTGCCCCCACCACCTAGGTTGTAAAGTTCGTTTTCAACAAAGTATCTTGTACATCTCATTGTTACAATAGGTCAATATGCATTTTGTTAGTTCCCTTCCTCTCTCCAAATTAGAAAAATGTATATACAAGATGTAGGGCACCTGAATCAAATACAGTGAAAACAGAGGTTATACCATGGGGAGAAAACATATAAAAGAAACAAAAAAATCACATGGTACATTATAAATACATTAAAAACAACAGCTGTGAAATGTAGCTGTTTTACCAACATGATGGTTTTAAAAGGAATGGCCAGTAAGAGGTGAGTAGTTATGAGGGTAACTCCCTCATTACAGGGATGATGGATTTTTCTGTTGGTCATAGGGCTTGAACTCAGGTCCTGGGTGCTGTCCCTGAGCTCTTTTTGCTCAAGGTCGTGTTCTACCACTTTGAGCCACAGTGTCACCTCTGGTTTTTAAGTGGTTAATTGGAAATGAGTCTCACAGGGGCTTTTCTGCTTAGTCTGGCTTTGAACCATGATCCTTAGATTTCAGCCTCCTGAGTAACTAGGTTTACAAGTGTGAACCACTGGTGTCTGGCAGGGGTGAGGACTTTTGACCTACTTTTTGACCAGCTTGTCTTTCCCCCTCTACCACTTTAGGTTTCAGCAAGAAGACTGATGTTAGACAAGAGTTGACAGTGTCTTGGACTTAGGACTGTGAGAAATAAATTGCTATTGCTTATAAATTATCCACTTTTGCATATCCTTTTATAAAAACAGAATAAGACACCCAGTCTTTGTGAATAAGAAGTGAAGTCCTGATATATCTTTCCAGGTGTGGCTATCTTAAACCACAGATGTTATTTAATCCTTTACCTGCTGGGCCTTCCAGGCCTGCAAGGTCAGTCCATGTGGTCTTCCATTCCTTTCTTCCTTTTCTTTGTCATTGTTTTACTTGGGAACTGCTCATCTTTGTTGTCTGCATGAAGCAAACATCTCCCTGGAAACCCAGGGCCATGTGCCTCTTCCTCTGCGTGCTGACCACAGAGGGCATCATTATCATCCTCCCCGTGTTCCAGGATCTTGCTATCTTCTTGGATGTCCCTGGATGGCTGCATCACTCAGTTCTCTTCATCCGTTCCATCTTCATTTCTGAGTTGAAGATCTTGCTGACAATAGTGTTTGTTTAGTTTCGAGAGTACATTGTGTATCATAGATAAAAGTCTTTTGTCTCATGTGTGCTTTACAAATATTTACCTGGGATGCTATCTTCCTATTTAGCTGTGGTGACAGGCATGTGCCATCATACCCAGGTATTTGTTAAGATGAGGTCTTGTGCCAGGTGCTGGTGGCTTATACTTATAATAGCTACTCAGGAGGCTGAGATCTGAGGACTGTGGTTTGAAGTCAACCTGTGCAGGAAAGTCTGTGAAACTCTCATTTCCAATAAACTCTCCCCCTCCCCCAAATTGAAAGTAGAGCTGTGGCTCATATGGTAGAGTCCTAGCTTGAAGCAAAAGAAGCTCAGGGACAATTCCTTGACAATGGGTTTAAGTCCTAGGATCAGCACATGCATGTGAACACCACACACACATACACATACACACACACACACACACACACACACACACACACACACTCCTCCCCCACAAAACACCTACACACATTGAGATCTTGGGAACTTTTTGCCTAAGCTAGCCTTGAACTGAATGCTTTTTTGCTCAGCAAATAGTTGTTTTCTTTCACATGTAGAAACTTTTATTGTGATGTGATTCCATCTCAAATTGTCATATATTTGTGCATATATGTATATGCGTATATAGATACATGCAACTATATAGCCTAAAGATTAAAACAAGGGCTTCACATTTGGTAGGCAAGTAACTATTTCACATATCCATGCAAACATTGTATTTACTGAAAATAATAGAATTTACTGAAAATAATACAAATGCAATCTAGGGATGGATCGCACTACTAGATGTACTCCTCTCTAGAGAGGGGGTGGGGAGGGCCAGACTAAAGAAGTGTAATGGCTTGACCCAAGTGCATTACTTCTGAGGTCCCTTGTGGATTAGCTGACTCTGCCATCTTTAGACAAATAGCCTGAAATCTCTGGCTTCTGATGTTCATTGCTCAGTGTCCTTTGTGACTCATCCCATTCTAAACCATTAGGACTCCTTTTGAGGAAGGTGAGTTACTGCTTTCTTACTGTGGAATGAAATTTTCAGAGGAAGATTAGATGTTGTGCGGTAGTAGGCCCTGGGGTAGGTGGTTGAACATATTAGGACTTGGGTGTGGAGTTAAGTGGGTAGAATGGGAGTGAAAGAGCAGCTGTGTGCTGGAGCCACTTCATTACAGTTTTTGAGAGTTGATTGTGTACATTTTTCCAACTCTACATAGAGGGACATTATATAGGTAGTTTGAAAGTGGACAAGAATTTTCATGTAAACAACTGCTAACCATTATGTCTTCCCTCCTTCCCTCCCTCTCTACCAGTTTACATATTTTTAAAATGGTATCATTTTAATGGACGGTGATGTAATTCAGTGGGAGAACATTGGCCCAGCAAAAATAAAATTGTGTATGTTCATACATTTATTTTTAATTTTTAAATTTTTTATTGGTTGTGGGGCTAAAACTCAGAGCCTGGGTGCTGTCCCAGATCTCTTTTGCTCAAGGCTAGTGCTCTACCACTTTGACCCACAGTGCCACTTCCAATTTTTTGGTTGTTAACTGGAGATAAGAATCTCATGGACTTTCCTGCCTGGTCTGGCTTTGAACTGCAATCCTCAGATCTCAGCCTCCTGAGTAGCTAAGATTACAGGTGTGAGCCACCAGCACCCAGCCACAACCTTATTTTTAATTGACAAATAATGACTATAGATTTGTGGGGGTACAAGATGGTGTTTGAATTTGATTATACATTATGGAATGTATATCCATCACTTCACATACTTAACTTTTTTAATGTGAGAACTTTGAAAATCTACTTTCTGAGTAATTTTGATATACCATTATAATATTATTATTACATTGTTAATAATAGCCACATTATATTGTATATCTTAAATATTAATTTTCTCATTTAGCCCAAACTAAGCAACTTGTTGACAAACATGCATTTCTCCTTTTCTCTCCAGCCCCAGAAACCACTCTTATGGTTTCTAACTCTGTAAGCTCAAGCTCTCTAGATTCCACACATAAGAGATTATACAGTATCTTTCTGTGCTGGGCTTATTTGGATATGAATGCATTTTCAAGTCTTTTACAAATATGAACCATAAGAATTCTTTCTTTTTTTCATAAGAATTATTTCTATTGGCCTCCCATATGAAACTATTTTTCTGGACGGGCGCTGGTGGCTCACGCCTGTAATCCTAGCTACTCAGGAGGCTGAGATCTGAGGATCGAGGTTCAAAGCCAGCGCGGGCAGGAGAGACCGTGAGACTCCTATCTCCAATAAATCACCAGAAAACCAGAAGTGGCGCTGTAGCTCAAGTGGTAGAGCGCTTGCCTTGAGCTGAAGAGCTGAGGGACAGCGCCCAGGCCCACGACTGACCAAAAAAAAGAAAAAGAAACTATTTTTCTGTGTCACTAATAGTGAATAGTTTTATTTTCATTAGCTGCATGTATATCTATTTTATTTAGGGGACTGAGACTTTATTCAGAAAACAAGCCATATTTGATTTACCTTTATATAGCACACTTGATGGGGTAGAATCTTTAGATTGGGGTAATTTCAGACAGATGTGAAAATTCCCTAAGGCATACATGAAAATCTTCAGCGTATAATCTGGACTTTCTTCTATGACTAGGAGGTGAGGTTTCCAGGTGGTTAGCTTCACACATGACTACTTTAAATCGCACTGGAATTAGCCACCCAGTCTTCCGGTTGCTAGGCATCCCTGGCTTAGAGGACCAGCACATCTGGATTTCCATCCCCTTCTTCATTTCCTATGTCACTGCTCTGTTTGGGAATGGCTTACTCATCTTTACTATCCTCACCAAGCGAAGTCTCCATGGACCCATGTACCTCTTCCTCTGCATGCTGGCGGGAGCAGACATTGTGCTCTCCACAACCACAGTGCCACAAGCTTTGGCCATCTTCTGGTTCCGTGCTGGGGAGATCTCTCTGGATCTCTGCATCACTCAGCTCTTCTTCCTCCATTCCACTTTTGTCTCTGAGTCAGGGATCTTGTTGGTGATGGCATTTGACCGCTACATTGCTATATGCTACCCGCTGAGGTACACCACTATTCTTACAAACTCCTTCATTGGAAAAGTTGGTGTGACGATCTTTCTGAGGAGTTACGGTACCATTTTCCCTATAATATTTTTAGCGAGGAGACTGACATTCTGCAAAAGTACTACCCTCCCAAACACGGGTTGTAAGCACATCGTCCTGGCTCATGCTTCCTGTGATGACATCCGCATAAACATCTGGTATGGGTTCTTTGTCCTCATGTCAACAGTGGTCTTAGATATTGTGCTAGTTTTTATCTCCTATGTGCTTATTCTCCGTACTGTCTTCCGCATGCCATCCCAAGATGCCCGCCACAAAGCTCTTAATACTTGTGGCTCTCACGTCTGCGTCATCATCCTTTTTTACGGGCCTGGCATTTTCACCACCCTTACTCAGAGATTTGGACGCCACATCACACCCCATGTTCACGTCCTCTTGGCTGATGTCTGCATTCTGTTTCCACCTATGCTCAATCCCATCATTTATGGGGTCAAGACCAAACAGATCCGGGACCAGGTGGCTCATATGTTGTTTCTAAAGGCGAAGTGAGTGCTGTTGGGCGCTGGCATTCTTTTTGTCTGAGCCATTTTCTCCGTGTCTGAGGTAAGCTTAAATATCAGCATAAGGCAGCAGGTAAGCTATCAGTCGATTTACTCTCAATGTTGTGTCCCAAGTAGTTTCATCAATGAGCTTTTAGAGCATATTGATTCCAACGCCTCTAATCAGACACCAAATATCAGTATCTTTGGGGTTTTAGTTTCCTTTTATTCTGCCCATAAATCTTTGCTGCCTCTGTAACCTTGAAGTAAATAATTGGATGACAGGAAGCCATGCCATGATTGCACTCATGACCTGGCATGTTGAACTGAAACCCCTTTGTACAACTACCTAAAGATAATAATGATGGTAATAGAAAACAGTTGACCTGTTTATATAGTTCAAGAGATACCATATATTTTATGTACCTTCAATTTGTAGGTCACTGTTTTCTGCTCAGCTTCTATATATTATATTCTAGTTGGAATAAACAAATAGTTAACTTCAAAAAGAAAACAAATATTATATTATTATGACTCTGCCAAGTACAGGTTCATTGAGATGTGTGGGTAAAAACCAAGTGAAGCCAAGCAAGGTGGTTCATGCCTGGAATCCATAGCCACTTGAGAGAAAGTATAAATCTCAATCCAGCTCAGCCAAAAATTGAGACCCCATTCAAAAAATAACAAAAGCAAGAAGGGCTGGAATCCTAGCTCAGTAATAGAGCACCTACCTAGTAAGCATGAGGCCCTGAGTTCAAACCCCAATAACAAAAAACAAATGGAGTGGAATCAACAGGAGATGACCAGAAACTCAAATCTACAAAAGTAAAAGACATACATGATGCTTTACTATAAGATGAAGAGTATAAATGAAGTGACAGTAAGTAAAGATGGATTCAAGAATTATTCCTAATTTTTTGTTTTGCTATTATACTGGAGAAAGAGTACCATGACAGGATAGGAATGAACTGTAAAGAATGAAACCTTCAAATGTGGAGGACAAAGAGAAGAATGTTTTATGCTTGATCAGATGGGTCAATGCATAAAACACACTGAGAAAGGATAGTTCTGCAATTGCCAGGAAAGTAACTGTACAAAGGGGTTTCAGTTCAACATGTCAGGTCATGGGTACAATGCATCTTGATCAATGTCACCCCTTCATCAGTCTCCCCACTTCTATCTCAGCCCCATCCATTCTCTCAAGTTACCTGGTTTCATTTTCTAAAGTAGGGCATGGTTTTCACTAAAGATCTATTCATCTTCACATTGCAAAATGAACAGTCAGAATCCATCTTCCCCTTATTCAGTGTAATTGTGGCGTGATAACTAAACTTTTTCCTTTGAATGTATTTCTTCTTCTAGAAGCCTTTAATTTATCAAAGATAATTCTTTTCTTCAAATTGTTTGGGTTTCTCCTCATTGTCTTCCTTTCATGTGCTGTTTTGGCTTTCTCCTTACATTTCCAGCCCCCCCTCATATTGGGTATCTGTTTTACCATCTCATTTTAACAATGATATCAGGACATAACACACTGTGGAATCCATCATTTTAAAGTATGTGACAGTGATTTTTTAAGTCTTTCATAATATTGTAAAAGCACCACTATCATCTGATCCAGGTCCATCCCATTATCCAGTTCTTTCAATTATTCTATATTTTAGGATGCTAGCATTGAAATGGGAATCAAAACAGCTTAATGTTCTAGTCACAGTGTCCTAGCCACACTACACTGGTGTAAGGGCTATCGTCCTTCTAAGGATTTAAAGTTTTGATTTTTGTCTGTGGCCTTATTTTTCTTCCTCCTCCTCCTCCTCCTC